TCTCTCTCTCTCTCTCTCTCCCCCACACCCACAGAGATTAGGAGAGCCAAGGTGTGTGTGGCCATTTATGATTGAGTTGGGAAGGTAAGTGGTCTGTCTATGAGGTCCACTAGCGACACAATGTGTTGTGTGCGCGCGCAAGCATTGGGAATGGGAGTCCTGCTGGTCTGGTTACATTTGCGCGCAAGCATTGGGAGTGGTAGTCCTGCTGGTCTGGTTATATTTGTTTTCATCGGGTGTGGGAGTCCTGCTAGTCTGGTTACATTCGTTTTTCATCGGGCTCCCCTGCAAATGTCTTTCACTCATAAATTTGTTGGAATGATTTTCCACATCTATACAGATCTCACTAATTTTTATTCTTTTACAGGATTTTTTTTTGCACTTGCACCATTGTTTTAAGGTGGATAAATATGCATTTTTGTGCTCTTAAACTTCATTTTCTTGAAAGTTCCAAATAAGAGTAAAAAGGGACTTGGAATTGATTATCATCGTTGATTACACATAATATAGAAACTGACGGAAATATTTTTATTTGTACGAGATTCTTATATAATTGTTACTTTTTACTTATCCCTTTAAAGATACTTATTAAGTTGGTTGAATTTTTCTTGGTAGCTGCCGCATTTTATGAAATAATACTTTTTTGTAATTTCTTACACTTTTTTTACTTTCTTTTGTCAAGTTATGAAAACTTCGAAGTCGGACGCCACCACTATTCTCTCCATTCTTATCCATTAATTATTTTCTCCTTGGCGCCATTATTTCGAATCTCAAGCTTTTTCTTTTATTCTTTTCTATTTCGACGAAAAAAAAACTGTAGTTTATATTTTGCTATGTGAATTTCAAGAAAAATGACTTTAAGAAATAGAAAGAATTTTGGTTAAACGAAAACAATCGAGGCACGTAAGATACGCTCTATTTAAGACGAAATAACCCCGTATATTACCCACGGTTCACGGCTAATGCCTCCAAGATGTAACGACTTTCGATTTGTGTATAGTGGTAACTCAAATACGCAAACCTTCGGCGGACAATACTTATGCTTTGAACTCTCAAGTTAGGAAAGAAAGAAACTGCTCCTGTCCAAGGCGAGAGACCGCCGAAGTTCAATGGCTCTGATTTCAAGAAGTGGCAACAAAAGATGCTTTTCTACCTCACAACTCTCTCCCTCTCTCGTTTTTTTTCGGAGGACCCTTTGATCGTCCTCGAAAGTGAGACCAACATGCAAAGGCGTACGGCCTCGGATGCTTGGCATCACAACGATTTCTTGTGTAGAAATTATATCCTTAAACGAGTAGACGATTCTATCTATAACGTCTATAGTCCGATTAAGACGACAAAGGAGTTATGGAATTCCTTGGAGATGAAGTACAAGACGGAAGATGCCGGGATTAAGAAATTTCTCGTCGACAAATTCCTAAAGTACTTAATGGTGGACACTAAGTCGGTGGTTAGCCAAGTTTAAGAGATTCAAATCATCTTTCACGATTTGTTGGCCGAAGGATTGATTGTGAATGAGGCCTTCCAAGTTGTGGCTATTGTTGAAAAGTTACCATCACTTTGGAAGGACTTCAAAAACTATCTCATGCATAAACGCAAAAAGATGACATTAGAGGACTTGATTGTTCGACTTCGAATTGAGGAAGATAATCGAAAATCTGAAGTAAGGGCCAACCGGAGCGACTTCGAGGCTAAGACAAACTTGGCCCAGTCAAGCTCTAATAAGAAGCGCAAGAGAACTTCAAAGGAAAACAACCTCAAACGGACACCAAGAAGTTCAAAGGGAATTGCTACAATTGTGGTAAATCTGGGAATCTTGCGAAAGATTGTCGTCTCCCGAAGAAGGGTAAAGATAGCGCACATATAGCCGAGGATAAATCTGTTCCCATTGACTTATCTGAGCTCGATCTAACCGCCGTGGTCCAAGAAGTTAACTTGGTTAATAATCCACGAGAATGGTGGGTCGATACGGGAGCAACTCGACATATTTGTGCGGATAGAGATATGTTCTCATCTCATACCCCTACCGACGGAAGGAAGCTGTTCATGGGCAACTCTTCAACATCAAACGTCGTGGGAACGGGAAAGGTGGTGCTGAAAATGACTTCGGGCAAAGACTTGACGCTAACGAAAGTGCTGCATGTCTCGGACATCCGTAAAAACCTTGTATCCGGTGCTCTTTTGAGCAAAGCCAGTTTTAGATTAGTCTTTGAGGCCGATAAATTTGTAATGACTAAGAATGGTGTCTTCTTAGCGAAAGGGTACCTAGATGAGAGTCTTTTTAAGATGAATGTAATGAATGTTATCCGCCAAGAGGCGAAGAATAAAGAAAATATTTCTTATTTGTTGGAGTGTTGTAATTTATGGCATGATAGATTAGGACATGTGAACTTTAACACAATTAAAAGGTTGGTGAATTTGGAATTGATACCTAAAATTGATTCACACAACAAAGGTGAAACATGTGTTGAAGCAAAAGTGGCTAAAACACTATTTAAACCGGTGAAGAGAAGCACTAGCCACTCGAGTTAATTCACACTGACATATGTGATTTAAAATTTGTGCAAACTCGAGCGGGGATGAAGTATTTCATTACATTCATAGACGATTGTACAAGGTATTGTTACGTTTATCTACGAAAGAGTAGAGACAAGGCATTAGAGGCCTTTAAGACGTATAAAAATCGAAAGATCAAAGCGATTCGAAGTGATAGACGAGGCGAGTATGTAGCCCCGTTTGAAGTGCTCTGCAAAGAGTGCGGTATTATTCATCAAACAACGGCTCCGTATTCACCGCAGTCTAATGGAGTGGCCGAGAGAAAGAATCAGACACTAAAAGAGATGATGAATGCACTTTTGATAAGTTCGGGCTTACCCCAAAACTTGTGGGGGGAAGCGGTTCTTTCGGCAAATTATATTTTGAACAAATTACCCCACAAAGGTAACGACAAAATGCCATATGAGTTATGAAAAGGTCATAGACCTACCTACAAATACTTAAAAGTGTGGGGGTGTTTGGCAAAGACCTAAACCGAAACAAGTGAAAATTGGACCAAAGACTATTGATTGTATATTTATTGGTTATGCAAACAATAGTAGTGCTTATCGATTTTTGGTGCACAAATTAGAAATTTCGGAGATTCATAATGGAACAATTTTTGAGTCTCGGAATGCGGTGTTCTTTGAGAATTTTTTTCTTCGTAAAGACAAGGAAGAAATAATTCCGAGAAAAAGGACATTTGAAGAGGCCAAGCTACCTCAAGAAATTGAGGATGAGCCAATGCGTAGTAAGAGAACAAAAGTACCTAAGTCTTTTGGTCCTGAATTTCTAACTTATGTTAGAAAACGAACCGAGAACCATTCGAGAGGCTTTGACAAGTCCGAATGCTCCTTTTTGGAAAGAAGCTATCAATAGTGAGATTGAATCTATTATGCACAATAATACTTGGGAGTTGGTTGATCTCCCACCGGGTAGCAAACCTTTGGGATGTAAATGGATCCTTAAAAGGAAGTATAGAGCTGATGGAACTATTGATAAATATAAGGCCCGATTTGTTGTAAAAGGGTTTAAGCAAACAGAGGGATCTGATTTCTTTGATACGTATTCTCTTGTAACTCGAATCACGTCTATACATGTTCTCATCGCAATTGCTGCAATGCATGACCTTGAGATTCATCAAATAGATGTGAAAACAGCCTTCTTAAATGGAGACCTCGAGGAGGAAATTTATATGGAACAACCCGAGGGGTTCGTTGCACCTGGAAAAGAGCAAAAAGTGTGCCGCTTGGTTAAGTCACTTTATGGGCTAAAACAAGCACCTAAGCAATGACACGAAAATTTTGACAAAGTGATGTTGTCAAACGGATTTGAAATCAATGAGTGTGACAAATGTGTCTATATTAAAGGTAATGTCGATTCATTCGTGATCGTATGCCTATATGTGGACGACATGTTGATCTTGGGAAAGAATAATGGTTTAATTCTCAATACCAAGAAAATGCTGAAAAATAATTTCGACATAAAGGATATGGGAAAATCCGATGTAATATTAGGGATTAAAATCTCTAAATGTTCGAAAGGTATTGTTTTGTCACAATCCCATTATGTCGAAAACATCTTGAAGAGGTTCAATGCATTCGCTAAGCCTCCAGCTAAGATGCATGTTGATTTAACTCAACACTTAGCTAAAAATCGAGGTGAACCAGTATCTCAACTAGAATACTCACGAATAATTGGGAGCTTGATGTACTTGATGAATTGTACTCGCCCTGATATAGCACATTCGGTGAGTAAACTAAGTAGGTTCACGAGTAACCCGAGCAATGACCATTGGAATGCACTTATTCGGGTACTTAGGTATTTGAAACATACCTTGAATTTTTGAATAACATATACGAGATATCCAACGGTACTTGAAGGGTATTGCGATGCGAATTGGATATCCGACACAAAAGACTCCAAGTCCACTAGTGGTTTTGTGTTCACTATAGGTGGAGGAGCGGTGTCATGGAAATCGTCTAAGCAAACGTGTATTGCTAAATCCACAATGGAGTCCGAGTTTATATCCTTGGACAAAGCCGGGGAAGAAGTTGAATGGCTTAGGAATTTCCTTGAAGATATTCCATGCTGGACAAAATCGGTGCCCGCTGTAATGATACATTGTGATAATCAATCGACAATTGGAAGGGCACAAAGTAGCTTGTACAATGGTAAG